ATATGATGTCTACCGTGTCTGGCACTGGAGCTAGAATGACAAATGGGCACAGACAACGCCTGCCCTCACATAGCTGACAGTCCAGGTGGGGAGATGGCTGTTAATAACTCACAGACCTTTATTTACTTGGATTAATGGCGCGGATAAGAGAGTGCTATGAGATGAAGTTGGAAAGGCAGGATGTGTGAGATTTGAAGAAATCTGTGTTTGCCTGAGGGTATCATCTTGATCCAATTGGTGACCAAGAAAAGTGACAGGCAGTCGCTGGGTTTGGACGACGAGTTGGCAGCTGGACAGGAGAGACGGCGAGACGTCAGGATGATTACGTCTAGTTTTTCAAGCTTGCTGGTGAGGATGATCTGAACTGGTACTTCGGCAGTGAGGTGAAAGGAGTTCCGAGAGCGCTACCGTAGATGACAAAGTCGTCATGATTGTTTTCCAAGCGTGATCCCTCAAACCCAGGGTGCCTCTACCTTTTAGGAACTTCAGAAACCGAAAGGGATTCCTAACAACTCTTCTCTCATCCCAAATGGGCAGCTGTCTCCCATTCCTAGCCTGTGAACCAGCTCTTCTCTGGCGCACTCCCCTTCTGGCTGCTGTCAGAGCTTTTCTAACGCTGAGCTGCCCCCTAGTGGAAACTCAGAGTTCACACAGCACAGACTCGTAGCTGTTAGTGTTAGTCATGCATCAAATTACTTGGGTATCTCAAGTGAGCAGTGTAGACATTTCACTTCCTTCTTCTTCTTCTTCTTTTTCTTTTTTTCGGTAGTTTTGTCATCTGGCGTGTACACTCGCCAGAGAGGGACAGGGGGAGTGAAAAGGAAATTGAGAAAGCACCCCCCAAGGGGGGGGGCTGTGCTGCAATCCCTTCTCCTCTCGCAGGTTTTTGAAGCCACAGGGTCTGGGCCTTGAACCATAAAGTCAACCGTGTGGGATCCAGCTGTCTTAACCACTACATCACCTGCTGACCCAGACACTTTACTTTTTAAAAACCAGGTGATGAGCAAGATGAGGCCCAATGATTTTGCCATTAAATTCCCACAGGACTTTGCAAAATGCTTGCTTTTTTAAATTTTTATTTTTTTTTTATAAACATCACGTAGTCAGTTTTAGTTAATTATATAATTTGCCATTTGTATATTATTTATTTAAAATGTGTCTTTCCCTTTATGCTGTGTTTCTCAGGTACAGGAAGTCAGGAGGTTCTTATTTCAATACCTGATGCAGCCTTTAAGTCCTTCTCTGCCTCTTTTATCTTTAGCAAAATGTATTTTGTTTTTTAATAGGCCCATCTACTGATGAGCACAACATACAGTTTCATCACTGAGTAGAATTTGCAGTATTTCACCCATTTATTCACTTGCTCATCTGTTTGATGAACATTTCTGTGTGCTAAGCAATTTAGGAAAATAAGTTCCTTATGGGCTTATGCTTGTTGTAGACTTAAGGTTAGGCATTACTGAGAATAAAAATTAAATCTACAAAGCAATTTATTACATTTTGAAAATATTTACATTGTATGTTACGGGTTACGGTTTTATCTTTTTGTGGTTTCATTATGCCTATCTTGCATCGTCTGCTTTGGTTTTTCTCCACTCAGCCCATCTGTCAGGCAGCCTATCAGAACGACTTTGCTCAAGTGTGGCGGTGGGTGAAAGAAGACAACAACTACGTCAATGTTCAAGATGGCTTTAACGGAGACACGCCCCTGATCTGTGCTTGCAGACGTGGGAACATGAGAATTGTTTCCTTCCTTTTAAGGAGAAATGCTAATGTCAACCTCAAAAACCAGGTGAGTCTGTGACACGAGTGAAGAGTGTAACTTGCTTTTCTCCTTGAATGGCTGGAGGTGGTGAATGTCATTTTAAAAATTCTTGTTACTCCTACTACCAACAATACTTTTCTTTTGCTTTACTTTTGAGAGATTGACAACCTAAAGTTATTTTGTTAGACTAAAAAGCAAAATAAAATTTAGTCCTACCAGC